TATTCATACTTGTAGTATATGTGTGTCTGAATTGAAGTAATTGCAGTGTGATTTGGTTGTATGACTTAAAAAGCACATCAGAAGCTATACATTGTAATTAATTTTCACTAATAGCAAGAACAAGATTAGAGTCTTGTAACTGCAAGTTGGTAGAAATGCTTAATAAACTACCACTTAATTATTGTATTTTCTTAAGTTTTGTGTACAATTGCAGTCAAAAAGATTTCTAGCATTCTTTGAAACAGCACCTAATACATGTACATTGGAATAAATGCACAAGTGACTTCAAACCATAGTGTTCGTCCTGGTTTCATTGTTCCCGATAAAACATTACTTTAACTATTCATAAACAATACACTGAAGCACTAAAGTCAATATATAACTGTACCCTTTTTACCCCTCAACCAAAAATCCAAGAATTCATCTTGCACAGAGCAAAAGCATCTATTTTTAGATGGAAGGCTTTTCTCAAAGAACAATCTTTCTTGCTTCGTTACAAAAATCCATTAAAGGGTCTGCATATATATGATCTATCTACCTACTGGTAATAACAACATGCATTTTTAAAATATTATTTGCTTCATTGCTATATATATTTTTCGTATTTTCACAGCTTAATGAAGTGGTGTATCATATATGCAGCGATGTCCGCAATACACCGATAAACAGTTTCAAATTGCACATGCGTAAACTTAGAGGTATGCAAGAGTTGTTTTTCTTAAATTGCGAGTAAAAGAAGTCAAAAGCCCTACAACATACAGAAAATATTATATATATATATATATATATATATATATATATATATATATATATATATATATATATATATATATATATATATATATATATATATATATATATAAGACGTGAAAAATGACCAAGTGGAAGTCTATTATGGGTAGGTCTGTTTGGGAATGCTTGTCAGATATTCATTACATATTACTACATGTCTGTTGGAAAACAAACCCATTTAATGAATTCTTAAATTACAATAGTGGCTTATCAGTGTAATTTACCAATGAAATAGGATTGGTTTTGGTTATGGGAAAGGTTGAACTGCATTTATGGTTAGTGCTTAACCTCATAAGCCTTGCTTTTTATCAGTAAAAACAACAAAAATTGTAAAAACTATGAAATAATAATATAAATACGGTTATTTTGTGGTTACATAAATTTTCATTCTTTCTATTATTGATACAACTTACCTATAGCGGAGGTGAAGGAGATATCACTTTTCAAGCCTGGCTTTCACTGTTTTTGATAAATAAAATCACTAATATTAATAATGGTCACATGTAACCCAAACATACATGCACATTCATAAATATATTCCCACCAGTTCACTATTTCCTGTTAGCGATCTTAGTCCTTGCAGAGAGCTCATCCAAATTCCCATTAGTAGTTTTGTCTTGTTGGGGTTTTTTTTTAATTTTTTGTTCTTTCTGTGTGACAAATATAGCTTTAAGGCATGTGTCGACGATAATTTAAACTTTTCTAACATCATGTCATTCAAATCTGCCATTTCAAAAGGACAGCTGTCTTTTGATTAGAAGGCAATGGTGCATACTTGTAACAACAATGATGCTACTGCTGTTGGTATAACAGTACCAATTGTGCAAGTCCAGGTGGGTGAAGCTTAAGGTGTAGGGAACATTGCATTAAAAAAAAAACAACACTAGCTGTGATTGGTGCATTTTGTAAGAGTTGTACTTTCCGTTAGGCTTAAAAAAAAAGTTGAGCCTCTTGGCAACATGTGAGATTATGTTAATTCCTATCTAGATCATATTTTGTATATTTTATGATTTTTTGAAAATGTACACATGACTGAAAATGTGTCTGTTGTGACTAGATAACTCATAACCCTGTCTAGTTCCAACTGAGTACACTTGTTACCAGAATATATATATATATATATATATATATATATATATATATATATATATATATATATATATATATATATATATATATATATATATATAAGTTCTAATGTACAGCAGTAAAATTGAAACATGGATAAAAGTAATTTTATAGTATGTATTTCAGGAATGTTTTATAATTCTCTTTGCTATTATCATCACCAACCACAATAGTATTTTCAATATGGAAAGTTTGATAAGCATCAGGTTACAGGTTAGTCCTACAATGTAACACCTCAGCCTTGATATATGTTATGGGCATTGATGTCTTACATCACATGAACAGCAAAATTTATTGCAGTAATTGTTGATCAGGATAGATTGTTATACCCAGACATGCAATTAAAGTACTTCAAAGTCAATACACCAACCACACAATAATTACAAGTTTCCACAATGAACCACGATAAGTTGCATCGTTTTGTCATTGATATTGAGTAGAACAACATTCTACAATTCTCTCTTCAGGTATTTATGCATATAATCTTTTATCAACAAAGGAGATGTAAAGTTCAATGACAAACCTGATGAGTATCTCCTCCATTATATATATATATATATATATATATATATATATATATATATATATATATATATATATATATATATATATATATATATATATATACATATATCCCTATTAGCAGTGAAATTTATTGCAGTAATATTTGATTAGAAAAGGTTTTTACACCAAGTCATGCAATTAAAGAACTTCAAAGTCAATATACCAACCCACACTAAATACAAGTTTCCATGATGAACCACAATAAGTTGTATCGTTTATAATTGGTAGAGCAACATTCATCAATTCTCTCTTCAGCTGTTTATGATATCTTTTATCAACAAAGTTAATGTAAAGTTCAATGATAAACCTGACAACGAGCATCACCTTCTTTTTTCTGCATTATGTTGCTGATGACTATGAGAAACTGATAATTATCCATAGCTATTGCATACTAAGGAAACGAGGTTAGCCAAGTATCTGTTTGATGAAAATTTATGTGAGTAGCATATCATTGATACAGCATTCATACAGTACAAATATTTTATTTATACCACATGCTAATACACATATTTACCCTTTGAATGGAAAGCAGAATGGTTCACATTGAAATAGTTTTTACTGTTAAATTCATTTAGAAAATAGTGATAATTGATGCTAATCATTAATGACTAGAATTGCATCATTAATTTATAGGCTTAGAATCACAAGCATGCAGTTCCAATGTTTCTATATGTGTATTATTGTACATGAATGGATCATACTTTGATATGTCAATAGTATACCTATCATATATCAAATTGCTTGATACCAAAACTGTAAAAGCCATGTTATTATTATCATTATTTATATATATATATATATATATATATATATATATATATATGACTTAAATTTTATAACATCAAAATATCAGTACCATGTATGCAATTAGCTCAATCAGCAATGATAAAAAGATCATCTTCCTTCGTGGCCATGGTGGTTCTGCCAACCAGAGCTCTGCCAACCCTTAGGTGTGTCATCATACTGGGAATCTACCAAGTTCCCTAAAAGCACGTAAATTATTCATGGAGATTACTGACTTCCCTACATATTAAGCGTACTCCGCTGAAGGGTACAAGATTAGTACTTACCCAATTTTATGCTAAAATTTATACTATTTTTCTGATACCTGGAAATGTAACTATTTAAAGCACTGTACCTACCGCGCCAGTATTAAATGTTGATTATATAAAAACAACTAATCTTTTAAATCTAGATTATGCACTATGATACTGTGTTATTTTGACCATGAGTGTAACCGAAGACACGATGATATTGACATGATTGGAAAACGACTAAAGAGACACGCTTACAAAAACTCTTCCTTCAATGTCAATTGTTGTTATATTTGAGAATCTCTTCATTACATGGAAAGTACTTACCATTCGATTTCCATAGCTCAGTGATAATCCTGCCATTATTTCCAAACATGAACCAGCAGCTTAGCGTGTCAGGAAGCACGGTGCGCATCTCACTAGAATGCTTAACAAAATGAGAGAGAGAGAGAGAGAGAGAGAGAGAGAGAGAGAGAGAGAGAGAGAGAGAGAGAGAGAGAGAGAGAGAGAGAGATTTAACGTAGCTTTAATATTTTTTCAATCATATCGCTACATTATATCTGCCGTGTGACAGTTTATAGTGATGTCTAGCACTATGGCATCATGCCGCAAACATGTTCTTAAATCGGATGTTACATCACCGTTTGTTTGTACCCTCCTACCAAATTCAATAACTAAAGAATTTAATGTGATTAAAAGTGCACATAACTAAGTCAATTGAACCATTGATTTATAATTTCTAACATGTCACCAGAATGGCACTAATACTGGCATCCCCTTGCACCTGTCATGCTTAACGGCCTTTCCATTCAAACAAGGCGCCATATTCCGTACACCCAGGGGTAGTTTATTTCCATCCGACAACATAATGACGTAATTTATCCTATTCGGTAACTGCCGGATAATTCCGTAAATTACCATAACGTTAAATTTGGAATTATATTCCTTTGCACACGTGAACATATTAATCAAACCGCTTGTTAAATCCACGTGAAAGGCATTTTTTTTTCTTTATTTTCCTGTGCTTGATTCGGAAGTAGACGATATAATGTATATCAATCTTTAAGCGTGCATGCACTCCTTTGCTGAAAATGGACTGATCCAGAAACTGAAAATGGTTCTCAAGCATGTCAGCCTATTACATTGAAAACTTCCGTTAAACATGAAAAGCGCAAGCGATGACGGTGTTGTGGCAATTCTTCTCACATTCAGGTTAGAAAATATAAATCAATGAATGAATTGACTAAGTTCTTTGTGCTTATCATCACATTTAATGTCTTTTGTTATTAAAATCTTTATGGGGGTACAAACAAACGGAGGTGTAGTATCGGACTAAACATCACTATAGACTGTGGCACGATGTCCCAGCCAGTCGCATTATCCTGGCACCAGGCCAACCAATTCTAACACTAACCTCTGAATGCTGAATGCTGAAAGTCTTAATGCTTAATGCTATTAGTACCATTTTTTAAAGTCTTTAGTATGACTAGGCCGGGGATCGAACCCACAACCTCCCGCATCCGATGCGGACACTCTAACCACTAGACCACCGGAGCGGTATTTTAACGAAATAGTAAAGCTTAGAATTGGGTCTCAACTTGGATAATATGTGAGAGTTTTGATATAACGTTCTTTTTGATAACGCTTCGATACATAAGAATACTGATGATAAAAAAAAATCATTAAAAAATATGCTTAATTAATGTAAACATCCATTGTATCGACAGAGATGTTCTAAGTATACATGATGTAGCCGAAATGTTGTACCGCAAATATATATCAAAATTTAAAAATGGCAAAATCTGCGAAACCTTTCACATTAACATGATTTTAAAGCAAGCTTTAACCTTATTAATATTTCATTCACAATTTTGGAAACACTAGTACAGTTTTCAGTTCACGGAAATAGTACGAAATATTGTTTGACGTTTGGGCGACAAAAGATATATCCTTTTGGCTACAGCGGTAGTCCAAAGGTCACTCATCGCAGTCGGTGTACACAACTATTACCGCTTGTTAGGAGAAATGATACCCAGCAAAAAAGACGGTTTGAAATATTGTTTGCAATTTAAAAAAAAAAAAAATCTGTCAAATCAACAAATAAATCATTTCTAAACATGATGGGTTTTAAATCTCTACTCACCCGCCACTTAATAAAAATTCAACTGTTTATTTCGTCAGATTAAAATATTTCATAATAGTACAATCGAACAAAATAGTTTGTATAATGTCAAAATATACAATGATATAAAACATGATGCGTTATGAGGTTGCACCACACATTTAAAAACTAAAGTAGACACGGGCATATATGGTGAAATAATGCACCTTTGTCATTATATGGGCAGGTGACATGCTGTAGTCACGTCTGGGCTAAACACCTATTTTCCTGACAGGTAGTGTCAATGTTTCTCTGGCATGGAAGGGTCGGAGTGGGTGAGATATGATTTAGTATTCCTGCTGTCGGGAACACGAGTTCCAATCCATGCCATCAACCTGCATGGTATTTTTTGTGATATTGTGAGGTAAAAAAACTATTTTGGGGCTGGACCTCTCGTCTATCCAGCAGTCAATGTCAAGCCACCATCCAGCAGGCAATGTCAATCATCTTCTCTAAGCAGAGGAGGTGGATGGGTTGCACGATTACTTGTCTGGTCCCCTGCTTAGTATGCTCCCTGCGATGCACTCCGCTATACTAAAACAAGGACAAAATATAAAAACGAACTTACGGTTTGTGAATCTAATCCAAAAATCATCCTAGATTTTTTTTATAAAAAATCCTATCACTAAAAAGTTTTAAATGAAGCAAAGTTCGAAGTCCCAATAGGTAAGGCGACGAAGTCTTCTTTAACCTCTTTTATGTTGATGCGTCAACAGTTCCTTTTTGGATCCAAAAATAAATAATGCGGTTTTAGAATTCTGAATAATTTCCAAATAAAGCCTTTGTCCGAGAACTGGAATGAATACAATTGATTTCCACAGAGAAAACGTTATTTAAATAAAAACTCAATTCAAATTTGTCAACAGCAGGAAAAACACATCTGAGCTCTGAAGGTGTGTTATTACGACTCATTTAAACGCAACTTATTTGGAATAGCTCAGTAAGACATGAGGCCAACTGTCACGTCCGCAATGGGTTAACGAATCTTACTATAAGATTCAATAATAAAAATAAATTTTTAAAAAAAAAAGACTTTGTTGACAACAGAATAGGCTACACAAGCCGAAATGACCTTGATTACGACCAATTTAGAATCAAGGTCAGAACTAGGTCAGCTAAAAATACAATGTTGCAATCATAACTTGTTTTACTGTGCGAATAAAAGAAGTCAGAACTGAACTGAATTTATGCAAAAATTCAATTCACACAGACAAAACTGTCATTACAGTAATAAGTACTGAAATGCAATAAAATAAAAAATAAAAATTAAAACCAGCAAACAATTATAAAATTTTATATACGTAACAGACCTTAATGCTAACGGTTGTTGAAATGAATATGCCTTAGTTCGTGCATTATCATGCCTTAGTTCGTGCATTATCATGCGAGTCACACGTCGTCGCAGGAAGCAATCTTTCACTGTGAGTGTGACAAGGGCACAAGTTACTCCAAATAAGTATCGTGTAACAAGATATACGTGTTCATTTATATGTATCACATTATTTTACATCTTGAAAAGACAAGAAAATATGATTTAGACATGAAATAAATTATGTATACAAGTATATATATGTTTCTAGATCTAACTGGAACTCAATGTTTTATTCTCCCACCCTAACCCGTCATGAGTGTGCGCTTCAAAGATTTAACAAGATCTGGCTTTCCGAATACTACTATGCACATATCTTTCTCGCTTGGCAAATATTCCTATCTCCCGATGCAAACTACAACAGCCTCCTTCTTCTCTAGCCTGTATAAAATTGATAATTTGATTTCTTGCACGGCATATCTGACGTGCCTATTCAGGAATTTGAGGTACATTAAAGGTAGAATAGTGAAACAGTTCAAACTAATGTCTATCAATCTTTCCCTAGGAAAAGGAGCAAAAAAATTAAATAGAAATACTAACCAAAATTTCTACAAATTTCACAAAAAAGACCAAAAAGAGATCTTTTGTGGGTTATTGTTCTTTGAGGTGGTTGTTTTGTTGCAATACTCTCTCATCCCCAAGGGCCTCTTCCTGTTCTACCAGATATAAATACAAAGTAGTTAAATGCGCAGTTAGAGGAAACAAATCGCCGAAGAAAAGAGATAACGGTAATGTATTCATATTATTTAATTCTCAATCAGTCGAAATTTTATGGATGTGACAATAATTCATATTATGCTTACATTTACCAATCTCAAATAATAAAATAATATATTAACATAATGAGATGTACGTTTTAGAACTGGAAAGATGTCATTTCGATAATGGTTACCAGGCATATTTGTATTTAGGGTTATAAAGTCGTAGAGTAATAACGAAATATTTCATCACAAGATAGAATATAATTCACACCGGCCTGTATAAATGGTGGAGATGGAACACGGAAGAACTCCGAAAAGAAACACCGACCCATGAGAAGCTACTGTCAAGCATCTCAGATACCCACGTTGGCCGAACCTGACACTGCCACGTAGCTTGTGGTAATAGGGCTTATGCCAAAGGACATTGTATCATGATGACTTATGCATTGTTGCGTTAAAGCAGATGAGTAAACGAATGTTTGAAATTTTTAATTGATTTAAATATTTAATAGTCTTGTTTTCTAGTCAAGTTTTATTGTGCATATAATTTCTGGCTTAAAAGTGACAATTTTTATCCAAAGCACAAAACAGGTTGCAAAACACAAGATTTGTAATTCAGTGTTTAACTGCCTTTCATTGAAGACGTTTAAAATAAATGAGCATTTTATTTATGAAAATCACCCAGACAACGACATATAAGTTAAATTTTTTAAATTAAGTAACAATGAAAAATGAAATTGTAAATTGATACATTTTAGCACCAGAGTAGAAACGTGTAAATACGACATGGCTGGAGCCAATATTTTAAATTCGTGTAACTTCAAAAGAAATTTTTTATCTCCCTAGAAAAGTATTGTATGTTGTCTGTTCATTTTACCTTTCTCAGACTGATGGAGTAGTGAGAGCCATTAGAAACTCTTAAAACAACAATGATTCGTATTTGACAATTATAGACAATTTCTGTATTTTTACAGATCCATCTTTCTAATTTGTTCATTGGAGCAACACCATTAAAATATAAACCAATATGAGCTTCCAGTATGACCAAATTCGTAAGTATGCCGAATTTTATCATGGCTGTTTAGCTATATTTTCTTGTTAAAATGAGTATTATGCGATGTTCCATAGCATATTTTATATTCGTTAATGTAGGGAATAGACAAAATGATTCAATTTTAAAAATGGTGGAAGAAACAAATGAAATGATCAAGTGTGGCCCACAATTTTCAGATGGTCGAATTCTCAAGATAAGAAACAAATTGTTTACATGAATGCTTGAAAGTTATATTTCGTAAGTGCCATAATATGTTCACACTTTTGTCTTTTATATAAATATATCTGCAAGGAATCAAAGTTAACAGCTGGTCTTAAACAAATAGGCATGGCCTCTGTATATATGGAGTTCAAAAGATTTGTTCATATCTACTTCAAAACAGATACAAGCATTCTTATGAAGTTAAAATAAGGCGGGATTTAACTTGAATCTGTAACGTTTTTTATAGTAATGTTAGAATAATATGTCCAAGCTTATAATCAAGATAATTTTGTTGTTTTTTTTTTAAAGATAGACTACAAAAGACTTTTATCCAGTCTTGATGTTTTACACAACAATTTGCTACTTGATACAAATATTCGCAACGCTTCGATCTGTTATTTTGTTTTCTACATAACTATCATCAACATTCGATTCAGATTTTTAATGTCTTCTATGCTTTACCATTATTATTTTGCCATAGAAGTGATGTGTAATCTCTTTATGCTTTCATATTTAAAAGTTATATTCTCTGTTAATCACACAGCAATTAAAAAGGAAAAGTAAAAAATAAAACGTTAGAATTGATTTCACATGTTATAAACATTTATTAAAGACCCAATTTATATCTGTACCAAAGCATACACTACGAAAACAATGCTCGACGTACTTAAGAAATTATTTTACACGATATTATCGTTATGTTTATGTGGGAGTTGATATATAATATCTCATACCGATCATTGCCTGTTACAACATGTACTGATACCGTACCTTGGTAATGATCTTAGCAAACGGAAGATCATGTTCATAGCTACTTTCTTTAGGGAGTTAAGTTTGACAAACTATGGTTTTTAAAATTAATTTTCAATGCAGTCAATAGTTAAAATTTCTCCAAAATAGTCGACACGTCTCACAGTTATGCAAGATGACTGCTGAAAACGCTGAGTAGCATCAAATAGAAACAAACAAATATCAAATTAGGTCTTTTACTTTACTTTCGGCTAGGAAGGTACTTTTGATTAATATGTGATTTATCTGGATTTGGATTTTTACACGCTGGAACGTTCA